AGTGGAACACACTGCCAGCCTTAGTGGTCCAGTGGTGATTGGTGCTCTTTAGCCTGCAGCTCTTGTGGCTGCAGGCTACCTGTACTTCTCCCGCGAGGGGAGTGCTGTGTCGGTGTGTTGCCATGGCAACGTTCCGATTAGCATTCTCTCGGGAGGAACTTCCTCCCAGTTCAATCCTTGTCATGAATGAAGGGCTTTTCAGGCCGGTGACAGAGATCCTTGATTTCTTCACCGGCCCGAGAGGGACAAGAGCAACTGAGCAGGGCCTGCTCTCCGTTGGCCGGCAGGGGAGATCAAAGGATCCCCCCTGTCGGCCTGGGAACATGGGCAACGCAGTTGGGCACCTATACTTGTGGGGCCCCCAGGCAAGTGCCCAGCGTGCCCATGCGGAAAGACAGCCCTTCTTCAACAGGGTCCTCCTGCCCACTACTTCAAATATGATGAAGCAACTGATGCTCTTTCCCGACCACCTCTGCTCCCAATCCACCAGCTGACTGTCTCTATGGCAGCCAGGTTGCTATATTTCCTTTTTTTTTAAACGTGTATTGTGATTTTTTTCCACATTCTTTATTGTCTGTATTATTTTGGGTGTTTATTTATTGCTTTCTATTTAATTGAGATAAAATTGTATGGGTGCCTACTGAGTTAATTTAGACTATGTTGCAGAATACTGTTTTATTAATATATCAAATTTATACTTATACCATTATATGATGTTATTATTATAAATTAATGTCACATTTGGTATGTTGCCTAGAGGGCTCCAGTTTACTTATATTTATAAATTATGTATGTGGATATAAAAGATGAACTAGCCACTTAAACTACCTGGTGGACTTTCCAGCAGGAGCTACAGGCGTAGTCTAAACAAATCTACTATGGGTAAGCTATTTAAACAAATCAATAAATGGATTCTTTACACAATATGTAAAATCAAACAACTCAGCCTTAAAAACCATGATGTTTGAAGACTCAGTGACATTTTTTATTTTACTTAGATAATAAAAATATGCCTTTAAGAAACCAAAAGGAAAGCACAGAAATGTAAAAAGGGTTTGGTACTCGATGCTCAGAAATGTGCTCAAATTATGGATATGTTAAGTCTGCATGCAGAATTCCAGAGATTCCATACCAGGGACAAGTAGAAAGGCAGCAAACACTGAAATAATAATAGTAGAAGATGATTTAGTGGAATGTGTTGATGAAATAGAAGAATTATCCACTAAAGAACACAGAGAATCAGCAGAACAAGTGATTGTAGATATTACAGAGTGACAACCTTAATACATAAACCATTCATCATTCATTTATTTTACTTGTCCAAATAAAAATCAACTTGCTGTCTTTTTCAAACCTCATCCACAGCAGGAAATTCCAGATCCAGTATTAAAGAAAGGCTGCAAAACGTAAAGATGGGACAAGTCGCACATGGCTCACCTACTTTAATGAAAAGAAAGCTATGTTTTGCTCTGTTTACCTGGCCTTTTCAACATCAGATGAAAAATTATTTGATTGAAGGAATGACAGATAAGCATAATGTTCATCAAAGAATTAAAGAGCACAAGAAAAGTGGAATGCACAATCTGTGTCCTGGAGCTTGTTTTTCTGAAATCCAGCAGTACTTTTGTATAAACAAATACCTAAGGCACGAACAAGCCAGCAACAGGCAATAAGTACTGTATAGGGTAGCAGATGTTGTAAAAGTGAGTTATAGGGGAGATAAGGATGAGGCTGAATACAATTTTGAAGACATAACAAAAGACCATGTACATTTATAGAGCTCATTCTTCATCTTAGCAAGTATAATTTTTTTCTGAAAGATCACGTACACAAATTATTTGAAAACAGAATAAACAAATCAGTTTTCTGGAGGAAAAGTACTTGTCTGCTAATCCAATAAACCATGTCCAATGAGGTAAGGACAGCTGGGATGTTTTCAATTCAAGTGGATACAACCAAGCAAAAATAATGTTGCCGCCTCATTTGCTCTACTCCCTCATGCAGACTGACACACGCACTGACTCAAGCAGGCACACACTGATTTAAGCAGACTGACGCACACACACATGCACTAACCCATACTTACCCATGCAGATACACAAATTAACCCATGCAGACTGACGCAAATACGGACTCATGCTGACTAATGCCCACACTGATCCATGCAGACTGATGCATAAACTGACCCATGCAGACTGACACACACACACACTGACTCATTACAGACTGGCACACGCACACACTGACCCATTACAGACACACACACACACACACACACTGACCCATTATAGACCCACACACACACACACACATATACTGACCCATTACAGACACACACACAGACCCATGCAGACTGATACACACACACACACTGACCCAATCAAACACACATCCTGATTCTTACCTTCATTTCATGTATTGGTTGTTAATGCATTCCAGGCATCTTGATTGAGCCTGGCTGCCCAGCTTCTCGTCACTGCCTGACACAGCTGCACTTCCTGCAGTGCTCACTCCCGCCCACTTGTCCCCACGTATAGGGCAGGAGGCGGGAGCAGGCAAATGAAGTGCCCTTGCACTGCTGAAATCTGTGAGGGGGGGCTTGGCTGAGGGGTAAAGTTAATGCCAGGCAATAGTAAGCATAAATGCTTCCTAGCGCTCGATAACATCGCCGACGCTTCTTAATCTCACTTGATAGAAGGGGCGCCCAAGTGAGCTGTAAAGCCGAGCATCCTGCCCCCCCCCCCTCATGAACTGCCCTAGGCGGCCACCTACTTGGCCTATAGGAAGCACCGGATACAACTCAAGATATCACTTCCAAAGATCAATGTTTGATATTTGTTTGTTATGTGACCGGTTGCATCAGGGACAAGCTTCTTGCAGTTGTCGAATATGAATCTTCAATGAGACAAAATCTATTTACATTGCTAATGAGAGTCTTAAAATCACGCAAACTTGATATTACAAAATGCATTGGCAGTTCAATCGATGGAGCAGCAAACATACAAGGCCAATATATTGGTTTGCCTTCCTGGCTGCCATGTGAATATCCAGGGCAAATTCAAATCTGGTACTATGCACACATACTGAATTTAGAACTTGCAGGTATAACAAAAGTGGTAGTTGCAAGTGGATCACTATTCAGTTTTTTGAATGACATTGGAGTGTGTATTCGTGATTCTTTCCAGCACATGAATAACTGGGAACAAGTTACTCAAGACTCTTACTTATGAAGACTTCAGTAATTGATTCAACTCTCTGGTGGTTAAAAGATGCTGTTTTAAAAAAAGTGTTTTGGGAATTTTCAAATCCGGATTCTGCTTGGCTTCTCATCAAAACCTGAGCTGCGTGTTAGAGCAAAAAGCATATGCAGAATCCTGCTCAAATATGAACCATTCTCACAGCTCAGATTATTCTGCAAATATTTGAATTGACCACACCACTATCTTAATATCTGCAGACAAGTCAAAAGGACATTTCAAAAGCTCTTCAGATTGTACAGGGAACATATGAAAAACGTGAAACAGTTGATTTTGATTTCCTACCAATGTCTACTGATAATTTTGTTAAGTGGGCAAAAAATACGTTTTAAGAACATGAATGTACAGCCCACTCTACCTCAAAAAAGAATAAGAAAAAGAAAAGAAATGGTAGACAAGTCTGTTAAAGATGTAGTAGCTTGTGATGCTATTTGAGCCTAAAAGATAAATGTTCACAACGTAATCTTGGATATGGTCACAGATAGCATGAGTTGCTGCTTTCTCTCCCGTGGAACCCTATATGCTGACTCAGCATGCTTGGAGTCAAGCAGCTTTTCTGAAATGAAAAATCTAGAGTTCAAGCACACGCAATGGAAGAATTAGCCTACGGTTAGTTAAATTTGATGAGGGAGCAACATTAGAAAATGTGCCAATTCCCAACTGAAATACTTTGCATTGCAGTGGGACTGGCTGAAGACATCACCCATAGAAGAATATAGGGTTAGAGAAGATTTGTATATTGAAAACAATGAAAGCAAATGAAAAGACACGGAACTCTGTATAGCTCCACACTAAACACGGTTTAAACGCTTGAATTTCGGGGTTTCACACCCCCTGACACACTACTCCTACCCAGAGATACAGGCTTCTGGTAGAACCTTATGCCGTTTGTATACCCAGCGGAAACGCAGACCTGGGGCCTACAGACCCACAGCAGGCCTGGACTGGCCGGCACTACTAAGCAGATTTGAGCCTCTGGGGGACCCGGAGACAAAAGACTCCCCCGACGCTTACCTAACTGCCCCAGCATCGATGGGCAGAAGGTCCCAAAAGCCACCCATGGACTCACCATCGGGGTCCAGGGACATAGAGGTCCTGCTGCAACGACAACCACCTCCTAAAATGGCGGGAGCAGCGGGTCGCGACCACACCAAGGTACCAGCAGACCCCGCACCGCCTGACTTACAACCAGAGCGGGTGCAGAAGTCCAGAGAGGACTCAGACGGGTCGGCCCCGGTCACACAATGGGACTTTCTCAATTTAGTCACAGAAATCAAGAGCCTCCTAGCAGCCAACGTGGCGGCCATTAAGGCAGACGTACAAGCTGTCACTGACAGGGTGAAGTCCTCGGAGGACGACATTTCAAACATCAAGCAGGGACTATCCTCACTACAGAACTCAGTTCTGGCCTTACAAGCCCAGCACCAAGATCTCTCTCTCCACTACATAGCCCTGGGTGACAGGACCAGACACAACCACCTTTAAACTTCAGTTATACCTCTCACCTGAGGAGCTCCCTCACTACATGAGGCGACTGGTAGCCTCCTTAATGCCACCTACGCATGCTAAAAAATTTAATATAGATGGGATCTACCGCCTACCCTCATCGGGCAGAGAGACGTGATAGTTCGTTGCTCTCCCTCACAAGACAAAAGAATCCTGATGACAGCACTCCACGGCAAGACGCCCTTAACATTTGAGGGAGCAAGTCTCTCTATTTACTAAAACATAACCAGATCCATGCTACAATGGAGAAGATCGCTGAACCCTGTCACCAACCTCTTGAGAGCAGCGGAACTGGAGTACCACTGGCGATCCCCAAGGTTCCTGGTGGTCACTGCACAGCTTACCGGCCAGCGATGCAGCACAGACACCCGGGTTCTCAGGCAGGCAGGCCCATCCACATCTCCTGACAGCCTGACTTTACAACTGGAAACCTGACTCTGTTGAGAGACGAACTACACAGCTGAAGCCCGAACATTCATGTTTAGATAATGTTTGACTTATACCCAGTTTAAATGTTCCCCTACGTTCCAGATCCTACTGGCCAGCAGTTGTACACTGCGGCACCTAGAATCTCGGGGCCTTGTTCCTGTGATGAGGAGTGTTATACCACTCCATTGTCACTCCATTGTTTTCAGTCTATAACAACCTGCTAGGGTTACTTGTAAGATCTCCTGTTTCAAACGGCCATTCTCCCTAAGCATTTCACACACTCCTGTTATCGCTCCATTGCTGGATTTCATTCCCTGTGATAAATGCCTAGTTTTTGACAAATGTACAACTTGTTTTTACACATATGAGCATACTTTTACGTTACTTTATGCCTGTTACAACTCCTGCATTGTTATGATAAAAATAAAAATTTCTATAAAAAGAGATTGACTAAAAAAAGTACCCTTTTAAGTTAACAAAGCTTAGTTTCTAAGTGAGCGTTTTTTACACAGGTTCTACCTCTCTAAGAACCAACTAAATTGTCAAATATTTGTTATTGTTTCGTAACTTTCATTAAAGAAAAAGCACTTTATAAATTGCATTACATTGTGTTTCATTTGTTATCATATAATTATATAATGCCAACTGATTAATTACAGTGACTGAAGCATGCTAAATATAACAATTAGACAATGAGATACCGTTATATTATATTTGTCATTATTTGCCACTTGACCTGAAAAAAAATGGGCTGATCAGTCTTAAATGCCTGTGGCTATTTTTTGTCCCAGTCTGGGCCTGACCATTCATGAGTAATTAGGAAAGTCAATATATTAAAACAGGACTTAGGGGTAGGTGGGTGAGTCGAGGGAAGAGTTGTGTTGTTGTCAGGCTTGTTTGCAAGAGACTGAGGCTGTGAAATGGAAGTGATTAAAAGGTGAAATATGTGCAATTTAGGAAGGGGCAAGCACTAGGAATTAATGATCCATAGAGTTGACAAGGAAAAGATATAGGCCTGGTGACACTAGGGGTTAAATATACTATATGCAACTATACAACAATTCAAGTAAAAAACCCATTAAAACAGAAGAAATAGCAATTGCCAAAAAGTGAATACAGCAGATATAGGTGGGGTGATGAATAGATGAAGTATCCTAGGTGTACCTTGCAGCTTTTAGGGTAAGGTAGTCTCTGAACTGGCTAATATTAGGTGCTGCTGTCTTGATGACCAAAGTTCCCCGGAGCCCTTCTAGGAGTGTGTTGTTGCCAGGCTTGTTTGCAAGAGGCTTGCAACAGTAATTCAATGTGAGTATCATATTATATATAATATAAATAAGTAGAACAAATGAAAAATGATCTTTTTTCCCCAACATTTTCCATATAATAATTTGCACATAAACAGCACAGCTAAAGAAAAATGCTTAAAAATGATTTAGGGTATGTCTCCTCATTTACAGAGTACACCACATGTCTGTTTTAGTAAGCACAGGTCACAAATGACAAAAGACACAATACTGTTTCAGAGCTTAGTTTTTTCAGAATTTGGTATGTTTGGTATAGTCAATAGGTTATACAGAGGTCACAGAAAATATATAAAAAAGTGCCACAAATTTCTGCTAACGTTTGTTGTTAACACACACATACACTGATCAGCCACAGCATTAAAACCACTGGCAGGTAGTGATGTCCCGAACGGTTCGCCGCGAACGGTTCGCTGCTGACTCATCATTGAGTAAACTTTGACCCTGTACCTCACAGTCAGCAGACACATTCCAGCCAATCAGCAGCAGACCCTCCCTCCCAGACCCTCCCACCTCATGGACAGCTCACTAAGAATGCAGCTTCACAATGGATGCTGTCCAGGAGGTGGGAGGGTCTGGGAGGGAGGGTCTGCTGCTGATTGACTGGAATGTGTTTGCTGACTGTGAGGTACAGGGTCAAAGTTTACTCAAGGATGAGTCTGCGGCAAACCGTTCGTGGCGAACCGTTCGGCGAACCGTTCAGGACATCACTACTGGCAAGTGAAGTAAGTAACATTGCTTACAATGGCACGTGTAAAGGGGTGGGATATATTATGCAGCAATAGAACAGTCAGTTCTTGATATTCATGTGTTGGAAGCAGAAAAAATGGTCAAGCAACAAGATCTGAGTGAGTTTTATAATGGACAAATAGTAATGGCTAGACAACAGAGTCAGAGCAATTTTTTTTAATTTTTAAATTTTTTTTAAATGGGCCTATTCCATGGGCTAGGGCCTGGAGCTGCAGCTTCATCAGCCCCTTTGTTAATCCGGCCCTGGTTCCCGGTATGCAGTGGTTAGTACCTACCAAAAGTTGTACAAGGAAGAACAATTGGTCCAACGTCAGGGCTATGGGCGCCTGAGGATCATTGATACATGTGGAGAGTGAAGCCCGGTCACACAGATGAGGCAGTATAGCTCAAATTGATAAAAAATGTAATGCTGGGCATGATAAAAATGTGTCAGTATACACAGTGCATCATAGTTTGCTGCGTATGTGACTGCGTAGCCGCAGTTGATCAGAGTGCCCATGATGACCCCTGAAAAGTCAAAAGCACTTTGACTGGTGATCTGATTGTCAGAACTGGATTATGGAGCAATGGAATATAGTTGCCTCATCTGAGTCACTTTTTTTTTTTTTTGGTGGATCGGGAGGATGACCGGGTGATTGTGCATCATTTACCTTGGGAAGAGATGGCAGCACGATGCACTATGGAAAGAAGTCAGGGTGGCGGAGGCAGTGTAATGCTCTGGACAATGTTCTGCTGGAAAAGCTTGGATACTGGCTTTCATGTGGATGTTAGTTTGACACATACCACCTAGCTAGAGATTATTGCAGACCACGTAACCCCTTCATAGCAATGGTATTCCCTGATGGCAGTGGCCTCTTTCAGCAGAATAATGCACTTGTTCAGGAATGGTTTTAGGAACATGACAAAGGATTCAAGGTGTTACCCTGGCCTCCAAATTCCTCAGATCTCAATCTGTTTGAGCGTCTGTCGGATGTGCTGAGTAAAATTATTTTAAGATTTTTCTACAACACGCTGGAACAAAAAATCTGATTCATGGAGTCTTTACCTCACAACTTTCAGGACTTAAAAAGATATGCTGTTCATGTATTGGTGCCAGACACCACAGAATACTTTCAACGGTTTTGTGGAGTCCATGCTTCAATTCATCAGAGCTGTTTTGGCAGCACGAGGGAGATCTACGTGATATTAGGCAGGTGATTTTCATTTTGTGGCTGATTAGTGCACATACAACAGTGGATTTTTTATCCGTATTTTGCATACCTGGTGTAAGTAATCACAGAGCTACTCTGTTCTGCTTTCTTACTGACTTAGCCCAGCAGCCTGCCCATCATCTCAGCGTAGAACAACTTGGGAACTGTAATTCTCTAATTCACTTCCTTAATTTACTTCTCCCTAAGTTAAAAGGACCCTATACTCACTTAGCCTAGATGGGGTATCAGCTGTAATTTGCTGACAACATCCAAAGGAGGCTGAAACAATAGTCTGGGAGTGCTGTATCTCTTGTGCAGAGGGATCTGGACTGCACTTTTGGGTGGGATGAGACTGGTATGCAAATGGTATGGGTTGTTTTTGTAGTGGTATAAGTGAACAAAAACATTTTTGAAAGCTTGCTGATGGCTTTCTACATTGATACAGAATAATAAAAATCAAACATAAGGAAAACAAGCAATAAATCATGCTAGCAAGTGTTGTATATCCTTTTGTGTTTCCAATGATTTTTTTTTCTGGGTTTAGGGGTCAGATATGTCTGCTTGCTCCTTATCTGCTTGCTTAGTTTCCCAAATGTCTCTACTAGATGCTATACTCCTACTCCTACTTAACATCCACTCTCTCATTTCAATCTATGTGCATGTTTATTCACAGTGTCCCTGCAAGTGTGTTGATTTATTTTGTATGTCATGCCTGGGTTTTTCTATGCACGTTTTTGTTTTATTTGTATGATACTGAAAATAACACAGTGGTATCAAGTCCCAAGGATTCCCTCAAGAAGATGGCACTTATGGTGATATTGCTCTGGAAGTGGGGTCATGTTAAGGCACAGCTGGAGCAGTGACAAAGGCAGACCCACCAACTCTCCTGGCACAGTCCCTATCTTTGAGTCCTGTTGTGTTGTCCTATCTTTGTTCTATGGAGTCCTGCTTTTGGGCACACAAGGAAACTATGCCGATAAAGCTGAACACATCATGACTGACTGTCTTGTCTGGTTTTACTTGGCTGGAGAAGGGATGAATAGTGGGAGCCTTGAAATCCTGGTATTCAGTAGTGGGGTTCCTGAAGGGAGGACTTGTTAAGTGGTTGTGAAGTCAGGTACCTTGCACAGTTGGCATAAAGATTCAATAACATGAAAAAGAAAAAAAAAGAAACCATAAATATTGAATTTTCTCTTCAAAAAAAAAAACAAAACATAAAACTAAATATAACAAACAAAGCCCTACCTACCTTTCTGTTTGCTACATATTTGCATTAGTGCAAATAAACAAATGTATTTTCCAAAGCTTGACATCTCTGCAGAGGGACTATAAATAGCTGTGTATTTTCTATTCACTGGCAGAAGCTTTTTAGGTTCAGTTTAATAACTGCATTGTAAAATGCAGGAATGGGGTAACAGGGAGGGAGGCCTGTGAGCATACTACACTTTACACTGCAGTGAAGTTTTGTATTCTGCCATATTTAGTACAGATGCTGTGTGTAAATATATGGACATCATCCCAACACTCAAATTACTTTTACTTAGTTACTGGTGGCATTTTAAGGAAGCTGCATTCAAAAGGAATACTTACTTTAAAGGAACACTATAGGTACCCTAACCACCTCATCTCAATCAAGTTGTCATTTGAACTCTGCAAAGTAAAACATTTGTTTAGTAGATACAGCAATGTTTTCATTGATCGTTAACCCCTTAAGGACCAAACTTCTGGAATAAAAGGGAATCATGACATGTCACACATGTCATGTGTCCTTAAGGGGTTAAACACATCTCTAGTGGCTATCTTCATTTAGAGGCATTTCAATTGTGAGAAATGAGTCAGGCTGGGCTCTCAGTGTCTCTGCCTAGGAATACTTCTCATAGAGAACATTCAGTTGGAGTAGCACAACACTTGCCGTCCATGCCCTTCTCATCCTCTATGAGAAGCATTGGATTGGAGGAGAGGACAGGAAGTAACATTGCGGAAGGTGGAGCTGGCTGAGTGAGACACTGCGTTGGATAAAAGGTAAGTAAATCCAACCCCTCTTTTTAAAATATTATTTAGTGGGTCCTGAATCTAAATAGGCAGGAGAACACTATAAATTTAGATTATATATTTTTTTCTAGCTATGCATCCTGTGTTTCAAATAAATGTTATGCTAATATTTTTAAATTAAGAGATCATGTTGAGGGTATATAGCACGCAGAGCTACGTGATATGCACATTGTGGTGCACTGTTTAATGTGCCACATGAGGATTACCCTGGGAGCATTATATAGGTTGCTGCCAGGCACCACACTGACACTGTTTCCATTCTAAACCATTTTGGAATGTATGGAATGGGCACCTAGATAGGATATTCAGATTTGTTCTTATACCGAGAGGTGGTTTTGCATACACCTTAGATTGTGCAAGTGTTATCATGAAATGTGATGGTGCATAGGTACACTAGACAATTATTGTGCTCTTCTTGAAAGTACTGTTGTGAATAGTGATGCCGCGAACCGTTCGTGAACTTGCTGCGAACGGTTCGCCGCGAACTCCGGTCAGCTGACACATCCCTGCCAATCTCCGGCAGACCCTCCCTCCTAGACCCTCCTACTTCCTGGACAGCATCCATGTTGAAGCTGCGAACGGTTCGCGACATCACTAGCTGTGAACAGTGATTTTATCCTGCAGTATTTCATTAAGATATATGAAATATATATTTTCTACTTGTAAAATAACAAAGGAGTGCTTTTCTACTAATATGTAGTATTGACAAATTCATAGAACTCACTCCTATGAAGGTTTTTACTCATAAGTTATTAATCTGTTGTGTGTTTACTACTGTCACTCTCCTTTTTAATAAAAATCACTCTATGTGAATTTAAACAGGTGCAGAGGAAGAGATATAATGCTATCTTGAAACGTTTGCATTGCCAGTTGAAAAAAGCACAGCTCAGCAGAAGACAGTATCAGTGGAACATAGAACAAATGCAGAAAACTGTAACTGATCTTAGAGAGAACCTTGGTAATGACATTTTTGTGCAAGGCTTGGTATGAGAAAATTGCATTGAGAACACAGCGGAAATTTCATCACAACAAAATATTGGTTTATGTAGATGTCCAGATATTTTTGGGGTTTTGAATAAATCTTAATGAATAGGTAAATGGTTTGCTAAGCTAAATCGTCTGATATACAAATATCATTAACCATACTTTTTCAACTGCATTTCCCAAACTATACTAAATAGGTACTAGGTGCAAAGCAAATTGTAAATATACAGTATAAATCAAAACAACTGCAAAATGAGGTCAATTGTCAAATACGATTCATAGTAAATTTAGAAAAGGCACTTACTTGGACGTCTCATCTGGCCTGATGATGTGATAGTGTGTACATACACCCTCTGAGGGCGTTCCGGACCTGCTTAAAGGAAGCTTCCCGAACCCTAATACAACGTCGAGGTGCTGGTTCCTTTCCACTGACTCCTGCAGGAGCTACAAGCCAGCTAAAATTTGCAGTTATTTTGGGGCAAGTGGAAACAGAGAGACCGGAGACGAGCTGAGTGACGGAGAGCAGAGGTGAATGGAAGAGTGGACCACAAAACACGCAGAGGTCGGGAGATATCGCTATCTTCAAACCGCCATCTGCAAACGCGCCAAAAATCTTAGGATGGAAAAGCCAAAAGCGAACGGCAGAGAGGCGAGTGAGAAAGGGAGAGTGCCTAGATACGGGTTGTGTGGTGTCACTGACATTTAAAAACTAAGGCCTCCAGCACAAGAGCCCTGTTCCTCCTCACAGAAGTAAACCAACTCCACAAATTATAGCATCACAATTGTGATTACCTCATGGAGGATAAATTCCAATTCAACCACTTCTTAAGATTGTTTAAACATGCTATGCATGTATAATTGCCAGCTATAAGAGAATATAAAAGGCAGATAAAATCTGTTTCATGAATGACAATTCACTGACTTTTTTCCAATGCCATAGTGATACATTTTTGATTCCTGATTTCTTTAACGCCTTAAGGACACATGACATGTGTGACATGTCATGATTCCCTTTTATTCCAGAAGTTTGGTCCTTAAGGGGTTAAAGGGGGAATTGATAGAGGAAGTGCTTAAGACATAGTCTGTAAAGAGAGATATAAAGGAAAGAAACTCAAAAAGAAATCTAGGTAGGAAAAGGAGAACCAAGGAATAACAGTGGAAAGAAAGAGAAAGAAGAAATAAGTTGTAATTAAAAAATGGGTGGGGGAGGGGAGCCGAGGAGAAAAAAATTAATAAAAAAAAACGATAGTTAATAGTAAGATTGTTCAGTATTACAACGTAGAAATAAGATTGAAAAAAGAAAGTCAAACAAAAAGCAAAACATTATTTCGTTTCCAAAATGGTTCCAAAAAAGAAAAAATGCCCAGATAAGAACAAATCCATAGATATTTTTTGTTCTCCTAATTCCCAAGCAAGTTCAAAACCACCTCAAAGAAACTCTTTAGGCTCAATCATACATTCTAAAGAATCCAAAGAAAAAACACTACCGAGGAATAATCACAGAACGAATCTGTCTCACAAGAATTAATATCCAATATGATGGATGAATTGTTTAAAAAAAATAAGAAATGATCTGGAAATTAATACATTAGAGCAGAAAACGAAGTTACAAGCTTAGGTAAAGCATTATCACAGCAAGCAGATATGATTCTTAATTTCCAACAAGAATTTGCAAACATCCAAACTGAAAATTCTGAACTAAAATCTCAAATTCAAAATCTGGAAGCAAAAGTCTTCTACTTAGAAGACAGATCAAGAAGAAACAATATCTGCATAAGAGGCATTTCAGAAGACAATACCAATCAACAACTTGAAAATGATCTTATGAAAATATTTTCGGCAATTACGGACATATCAGAATTTGGTTCACACCCTCTTGAAAGATTCCATAGATTGAGGAAACCGAAAGAAATATCAGCACCCAGAGACGTTATTGTTCGTTTATCAAATTATTATCTTAAAAGCAAGATTACAAATGAAATGAGGAATAAATCGCTGGATGATACCAACTATAAAAATATTTACTTCTACTCTGACATCTCTGCAGCAACCTTGGAAGCCAGAAAACGATTCTCTGAAATTACAGCGATCTTAAGACAAAGGAAGATAAACTACCATTGGGGATTCCCATTCAATATAATTATACAACATGAAGGGAACTCATACTTTCTCAGAAATACCCCCAATAAAGCAACAATTGATCATATGGGGTATTAATAATTTAAAACATATAAGATTTTATGCTCATTTTAAAGTAAAAATACAGCAATATAATTTTCTCTAATAGGGGTTAGAGGTATATGATATGTTTTGTAGATCAATTATGGATGCAAAATGGTTAGCTTAAGTATCAGGCTAATTTACATAAGAAACCAATTTTAAAATATAGAGTGTCTAAATACTCAAAATAAGGTTGCAACATCTTTATTTTTATTTCCCTTCTCTTCATATGTGATTTGTCTTCTTTAAGATTAAAATACGCGTAAACACTTTGAAATATAAGTTAAACTAAAATGTTAAAGAGGTATTATGTATTTACTGGTAATATATTAATCCTGAAGGTAGAAATTTGTTTTTAAATATTTAAAAAAGTTAACATAGACACTTACATTTATTAAGTGGAAGGGTAGGAGAAGATAAATATATATTAAAAAAAGAAGGGAGAAAAAAAGGGGGAAGAGGAAAAGGAAAAAAACGGTTAATAATTGATAAATAGAGATGTCGCGAACCATCCGCGAACTTCTCGCGAACGGTTCGTCGCGGTTCGCGGCGAACTCCGGTCAGCTGACACATCCCGGCAAATCTCCAGCAGACCCTCCCTCCCAGACCCTCCCACCTCCTGGACAGCATCCATGTTGAAGCTGCCTTCCATTTCAACATGGATGCTGTCCAGGAAGTAGGAGGGTCTGGGAGGGAGGGTCTGCTGGAGATTGGCCGGGACGTGTCAGCTGACCGGAGTTCGCCGTGAACAGCTCGTGGTGAACCGTTCGCGAGAAGTTTGCGGACGGTTCGCGACATCTCTAATTATAACACTTTTACTCGCAATAAAATGGGGGCATCTAGAGAAAGATAAGCAATAAAGCATAAAGGTTGACAAATATTGAGCTTGATATTATAGCATCATCTAGGCATGTGCATGGGGAAAATTTTCGGTTCGGTTCGGCTTTCCGTAATTTGGAACTTTCGCAATTCGGCACTTCAACACTTCGGGACTTCGGCAATTCGCAACTTCAGAACTTCGGCAATTCGGCACTTCAACACTTCGGAAATTCGGCAATTTCAGGACTTCTAGTGCAGCCGCTTAGTAGATAACTCCCTAATTCCCACGGTATTATAAATAAAAGGCTGCTCACTGTTTAATAGACATGCCCCTACTCGCGGTATAGCGAGTAGGGGCATAATTTACTAATACAAAGTAATCTTTACTTAGTATTAGTAAATTTGGCTGAAAGACCAATTCAGATCTTTCAGCCTTTTAGTAAATAGCTCCCTAATACCGTGGGAATTAGGGAGTTATCTACTTATTCATTCCTGTCATTACACTGACTGGCTAAGTAACTTACATTTTATATGAATGTATGTTACTTGATTGTTGTAAGTGTTGCAAATGCTTGTAGCTGAATTGTATACAATGTAACATTCTTCTTTCACTGGGTAAATATATTAGTACTTAGGCAATACTGTGCTTTGGAACTTCGGCACTTTGACACTTCGGCAACTTCGGCAATTCGGAAATTCTCTAATTTCGGTACCTCGGCAATTCGGACATTCGGAAGTACCTGAATGTCCGAATTGCCCGAAATTCGTCCGAATTCATATTCGGACCGAAACGAATTGCACATGTCTAGCATCATCTTTGATCCATATTTTTTTTTCTTTGTATCACAGTAAATATATTACTTCATGAGGGAAAGACCAATTATTCACGTAGTTAAAATACATATTTTAGAAATGGAATCTAAACATAATTAAAACAAGCTATTTGAATATAAAAATTATACACAAATCACCAATATTTTTTAATCAAGGACAATTTGAGAAGTGAATTTGTAGGTTGTTTAGAATACCATCTAATATTTGGTGATAGATCTAAATGGATAAATCCCCTAATATAATGATAATCCCTAATAGCTAATCTATGCTCAGTGATGGTTTATACAATATATGAACTACCAATTTCAATTCAGTATTAATGAATCTAAATAGAAACTAAGAACATTCATAATATCTAATGGCGTTAAAACTTGAAGTCAAATTTTGGGTAAGGAAGAGGAGAAATAAAAAGTAGGGAAATAATGGGGAAAGGAAAAAAGGAAGGAAGAAAAAAGGATTCTTTGAAGGCAATATGGATAGCTTTAGTGTTTTGAGGGTAGGGAAAAGGGAGGTATTGTTATCATAATGTTAAAATATTTAACAGCAGGTCAAGTAATGCTTTGAATGTGACCTGGGACGGCACTAGGTCATAGCAGAAATTTTAATTCTGCTTCCACAAGAGATACACTTGTGGTATTTCTGTAATATAAATGTAATGTCTGTTTTGTGTAATTTTTATATTATGAAAGCCATACAGGGTTGGGAAAGTTCGATCTGTCTAACTGAGATGCAAGGAGTTTGGCGCGAAGAACATGTCACTTAAGATCTTATTTATTAACGCCCAGGGTTTAAATTCCCTTCTTAGAAGAGGAAATCTATATCATACCTTACTCCAGTTTGGAAATTGATGTATGTGTTATGTTTCAGGAATGTTAGACAAAATGGAGCAACACAACTGCAGAAATAATAGGTAGTACTATACCTTTAAGAAAAGCAAAAATAATTTATTAAATTCCAAAGAACTTTCCCACACTGTGTAAAATGACACAGAGCACTCTGATTGGTTAGCTTGAAATCCAGCCAATCAGAGTGCTCTGTGTCATTTTACACAGTGTGGGAAAGTTCTTTGGAATTTTCCCACGCTGTGTAATTTGACTCATAACACTCTGATTGGTTACTTAATACACCAAACAGAGTGCTCTGTGTCATTTTACACAGCGTGGGAAAATTCCAAAGAACTTTCCCACGCTGTGTAAAATGACACAGAGCACTCTGATTGGTGATTGATGATAACATTCCATTTTAAAGTAGTATCATTAATCCCTTAAAGGGACACTCCAGGCACCCAGACCACCTCTTCCCATTGGAGTGGTCTGGGTGCCAACTCCCACTACTCTTAACCCTGCAACTGTAATTATTGCAGTTTTTTAAGGGGTTAACTCCACTTCCTCCTTCATAGCACAGAAAACGTCCAGCGTTGCTCATTTCCCCATAGGAAAGCATTGAAATGCATTTTCAATGCTTTCCTATGGGGAGCGCTAATGCGCGGCATTGCCGCACATGCGCATTAGTTCTCCCCGGCCGGTGGGCGGGATCAGTCTCGCCCACTGGCCGACGTAATGCAGAGGAGGAGCGGCGCGGAGGAAGAAGCAGCAACGTGGGACATCATCGCTGCCTCTGTTAAGTTACTGAAGGGGTTTTCACCCCTTCAGCAACCGGGGATTGGGGGGTGGGAAGGAGAGGGGACCTGCAGTGCCAGGAAAAGGGATTGTTTTCCTGGCACTGGAGTTTCCCTTTAACAACATTAGGAAGCACCATTACATCCTAAAAAACCTTAGCTTTAATGCCTTTGGAAGTAATTATATGTTGCTGGCACATTCACATTCTAATGAGCTGGTGTGCAGTAAATCCCTGCTCACACTAGGGAGGCACAAGTATAAAAACATCAACTGGGGCAATATTTAGTGGCTCCAGACTGACAGATGAGCTGTATGCAATGCATGTAGCCCTTGAAATATGATTTAAATCCCTGTGGCTGGAACTTTGTGTGAATGGGTTTAAATCCCTGCTTATACCAGAGAACACCAGGTTTCAATCATATATATCATATATCACTCACAGAGACCTGGCTTTACCCCCTCTGATAGTGCTACTCCTGACTCTTTTTGTTTTGGTGGGCTACAATTCTCCCATACTCCCAGACCCAACAACTGTAAAGGAGGTGGTGTAGGCATCTGTTGGTGTACAGACGTCGGCACGATTCTAAGTGCTGATTCGGTCAGCAAGAATGAACATACAAAGTACTCAAATTTGGGCCTTCAGGCGTTTCAAGGCTTCAGAAACATAGAAACATAGAAACATAGAATGTGACGGCAGATAAGAACCATTCGGTCCATCTAGTCTGCCCAATTTTCTAAAAACTTTCATTAGTCCCTAGCCTTATCTTATAGTTAGGATAGCCTTATGCCTATCCCATGCATGCTTAAACTCCTTTACTGTGTTAACCTCTACCACTTCAGCTGGAAGGCTATTCCATGCATCCACTACCCTCTCAGTAAAGTAATACTTCCTGATATTATTTTTAAACCTTTGTCCCTCTAATTTAAGACTATGTCCTCTTGTTGTGGTAGTTTTTCTTCTTTTAAATATAGTCTCCTCCTTTACTGTGTTGATTCCCTTTATATATTTAAATGTTTCTATCATATCCCCCCTGTCTCGTCTTTCCTCCAAGCTATACATGTTAAGATCCTTTAACCTTTCCTGGTAAGTTTTATCCCGCAATCCATGAACCAGTTTAGTAGCCCTTCTCTGAACCCTCTCTAAGGTATCAATATCCTTCTGAAGATACGGTCTCCAGTACTGTGTACAATACTCCAAGTGAGGTCTCACCAGTGTTCTGTACAATGGCATGAGCACTTCCCTCTTTCTACTGCTAATACCTCTCCCTATACAACCAAGCATTCTGCTAGCATTTCCTGCTGCTCTATTACATTGTCTGCCTACCTTTAAGTCATCAGAAATAATCACCCCTAAATCCCTTTCCTCATATGTTGAGGTTAGGACTCTATCAAATATTTTGTACTCTGCCCTTGGGTTTTTACGTCCAAGATGCATTATCTTGCACTTATCCACATTAAATGTCAGTTGCCACAATTCTGACCATTTTTCTAGTTTACCTAAATCATTTGCCATTTGGCTTATCCCTCCTGGAACATCAACCCTGTTACATATCTTAGTATCATCAGCAAAAAGACATACCTTACCATCAAGACCTTCTGCAATATCACTAATAAAAATATTAAAGAGAATGGGTCCAAGTACAGATCCCTGAGGTACCCCACTGGTGACAAGTCCAAGCTTCGAATATATTCCATTAACTACAACCCTCTGTTGCCTGTCACTCAGCCACTGCCTTACCCATTCAACAATATTGGAATCCAAACTTAAAGATTGCAGTTTATTGATAAGCCTTCTATGTGCAACAGTGTCAAAAGCCTTACTGAAATCTAGGTAAGCAATGTCTACTGCACCACCCTGATCTATAGTTTTAGTTACCCAATCAAAAAAATCAATAAGATTAGTTTGGCATGATCTCCCTGAAGTAAACCCATGTTGTCTCTGATCTTGAAATCCATGTGTTTTTAGATGTTCATCAATCCTATTCTTTAACATGGTTTCCATCACTTTCCCCACTACTGAAGTAAGGCTTACTGGCCTATAGTTGCCCGACTCCTCCCTATTACCTTTCTTGTAAATGGGCACAACATTCGCTAACTTCCAATCTTCTGGGACTACTCCTGTTAACAATGATTGGTTAAATAAATCTGTTAATGGTTTTGCTAGTACACCACTAAGCTCTTTTAATAGCTTTGGGTGTATTCCATCAGGTCCCATTGACTTATTTGTCTTTACTTTTGACAGTTGAAATAGAACCTCTTCCTCTGTAAACTCACGTGTAATAAATGACTCATTTATCCTTTTTCTCAACTGAGGTCCCTTTCCTTCATTTTCATCTGTAAATACAGAACAAAAATATTCATTGAGGCAGTCAGCTGACCTTTATCCTCTTCTACATACCTTCCTTCTTTTGTTTTTAATCTAACTAATCCTTGTTTTACTTTTCTTTTCTCATTTATGTATCTAAAAAATGTTTTATCCCCCTTTTTTACTGACTGTGCTATTTTCTCTTCTGTGTGTGATTTGGAAGCTCTTATAACTTGCTTAGCCTCTTTCTGCCTAATCTTATAGATCATTTTGTCTCCCTCACTCTGGTTTTTTTTATAATTCCTAAATGCTAACTTTTTGTTTTTAACTATTTTGGCCACATCTGCGGAGTACCACAGTGGTTTCTTGAATTTTTGCTTTTACTGACAAGCCTAATGCAATTTTCTGTTGCCTTCAATAGTGCAACTTTTAAATAATCCCATTTCTCTTGGACTCCATTTAAATTGCTCCAGTCTGATAATGACTCCTCTACCCATATTCTAATTTTAGAAAAGTCTGTTTTTCTAAAGTCTAAAACTTTTGTTTTTGTGTGGTGTGACTCAGTCACTGTTCTTATATTAAACCACACTGACTGATGATCACTGGATCCTAAACTTTCACCTACAGTAATATCTGATACCAAATCTCCATTTGTTAACACTAAATCTAGTATGGCCTCTTTACGAGTTGGCTCCTCAACAACTTGTTTTAGAGACAATCCCAGTAGGGAGTTTAGAATATGTGTGCTCCTGGCACAAGTAGCTAATTTTGTTTTCCAATTTACATCAGGAAGATTAAAGTCACCCATGATGATAACTTCCCCCTTCATTGTCATTTTAGCTATTTCCTCAACTAGTAGATTATCTAACTCTTCAATTTGTCCTGGGGGCCTATAAATCACACCTACACGAGTTACTGTGTGATTACCAAATTCTAACGTAGCCCAAACGGACTCTATGTTTGCCTCACTAACTTTTATTAGGCTAGATTTTATGCTATCCTTCACATACAAGGCCACCCCTCCCCTTTCTTGCCTTCCCTATCTTTCCTATATAAAGAGTACCCTGGTATTGCTATGTCCCAGTCATTTTTCTCATTGTACCATGTCTCAGTAACAGCGACTAAATCTACACTATCAGTTGCCATTATTGCCACAAGTTCATGGATCTTATTCCCTAAACTGCGAGCATTTGTAGACATGACTCTAAGCTTATCATTTTTTAACACACTTGCTTCAGGCGTTTCAAGATGATGTCAGCCAATAGTTTTAGTGCCCTGGCTATGTAAAGCCAGGACTTCCTGTAGCAAATTGCCCTATTGTAGTTCTTGATTACTCAAGAGTGCGCTTTATTTTATTTGGGATTTATTGTTACCGACCTTAGCTTGCTTAACTGTCTCTCTACTTTCTGTGTTCCAGACCTTGACTTGTTTATCATTTATCCTGTTTTCTCCTATTCTTGACCT